CCGCCGGATAAGAAAGGGGTGTTAGAGAGACCTCTTGCAATTAGGGATATGATGAACCCGGAGCGCACCAGAACGGTGCCAGCGTTCTCCCATATCCCTATGCGGAAACCCGTCTCGCCGCGGAAGGAGCCCGAAACGGGAGTCGCGCTCACGCCAGCCGTGTCTGAGCACACGGTTAGGCAGGAACCGTCGCCCCAACAACAGCGGGCTAAGAAAACGGCCAGACGCCACACGCCGCCAGAGACCGAAGCCTCACTATTTGAGAAGAGGCAACGAGTAGGCTCCCAGTTGTCATCAGACGAAGCTCCATCCTCATCCGAAGATGAAAGATACCATCAGGTGGTGACAACGAAGAAGGTGCTTAGATCACCACCGAAGTCGCCTTCTCCACCACAACCCCCCCCTCGCTCTATATCACCAGACCGACGTAGCCGAGACTCGGCTCAGTATGAGCAGGGGGGCGAAGAATCCTACAGCTGGGGGTCGACTACCTATGCAACCCTGGCAGCATCCGCCGGCAGATCATCGCCGGTGGCAACTACTAATCCGTCCGGGCTCCCGCAGGATGATGGTCAACGACCATCTACCAGCTATGCCCATAAGGTAGCTGCACCAGCAGTACCACGTCCACAACCGGCGGCAGTGCCTACAGACAAGCCTGCCAACCAGGATAAAACGAGATATCCACCTATAGTAGCTGAGTGCCTACCGGACTGGACGAGGCATTTTAAGGAGCTCAACAGAATGTTGGGCCACCCTTTAAATGCCCGTCCGTTCGGGAAAGGCGTGCGGTTCACGCCACAAAGCGCCAACGAGTTCCGTACGGTACAGCGCTATATGGTGGAGCTGACCAAGGAAACACCAACGCTGTCCTGGTACTGCTAAACCCCGGAGGAGGACAAGCCCACTAAAGTGGGCATCCGGGGTCTACCTATGGGCACGGACACCAAGGCAATAGAGGAGGCCATAAGGGCAAAAGGCTTCCCTATCAAATATGTCAAGGCAATTCCACCACGTAGAGGCAGACCTGGCTGCATCTACTTTGCCCAACTAGACCACCTGAGCCTGGAGCAGCTCCAGAATTTATATAACATCGACGAACTCCTCTTTATGAGAGGGGTCGTCATAGAGGCCTGGCAAAGGAAAGCAGGACCGGCTCAATGCCACCGCTGCCAGGCCTTTGGACATGCATCCGCAAACTGCTTCAGGCCAGTGAGATGTGTGCGCTGTGCCGGGGAGCACATTGCGAGCCTATGCCCTAGGGGTAGGTAAGAGGAACCCAAATGTGCCAACTGCGGAAAGAACCACACGGCAAACGACCGCCGCTGCCCAGTCCTGAGGAGGACTGCTAGGAGGCAGGGGATTACCTTACCGGGGCTACTCCCGGAGGACCCTAAAAGGATCCCCCAGAGTCGCCCGAAAGCTGTTACCATCCAGCAAGACGGGTGGGCTACCATCACTGGGAAGGGCAGGCAATCAGCCCCCCCCCACCCGTAACACCTAAAGAAACGGTGGAACCCACTGAGATAAGGGCAACCACCGGGGCGACTCTACAGCCTCCCGCCAACCCTGCCACAGAACGGCAACCCTCTAAGAAGAGGAGGCGGGAGAGGAGCAGGAAAAAGTCGCAGCCTCCTCAGGCTGTAACCTCTACCCCGACACCATCAGCACCAGTAGCCTTAAAGGCGTAGATTACTCGGGAGTCGACCAAAGAAGTGGGTAGAGTGCCAGAAAGGGCCCTACCAGAACGTAGAGCCCGCTCTACAGCTAGAGCGCGCTCTACCCACAAGCCAAGAGGGCAGGACCAGGAACATCCGCACCCGAGACAATTGCCAACGCCTTCATACAGGAGAACACCCGCCACCGGCCTCGAAACAGCAGATGCGATACAACGTTTAGTTGGTATTGCCATCGAGGTCGGCACGCAAGTCCTGGCCGATATCAGAGCCGGGACTGACCCAATAACAGCAATTATGAAGGCGCTGGCAAATCTATTAGCCCGGCATTACGGAGGAGAGTAATCTGCGCCTCCTCTATTGGAACCCGGGCGGAATACAGCAGAAGCTTCATGAACTCCGCACAGTCGCCCAGCAACAGGATTTGCACATTATATTGCTGGGCGAGACAAAACTTAACCCAAAGACGCATATTAAGCTGCCTAATTACCATCTATACAGAAGGGACGAGGTCACCCCCCAGGGGGCCGCCTTTAGAGGGACGGCGGTTCTTGTGAGGAGGGACATCGTCCACCAAGAGCTGGAATTACCATCTTTCCAGACTATGCGCTCTATCGGCATAAGAATGGAGGCGGCGGGCGAGGAACTAAGGATCTACGCAGCATACCGCCCGCCAGGGACTCCATTCTGCTCCTCAGACATCCGGACAGTGATGGAAGGCGATACACCTACCATAATCGCCGGGGACCTAAACGCCAAACACCCGGCGTGGGGGTCCAGAGTGATCACCCCGCCGGGTCTTGCACTATATGAAGACTCAGAGAGGAACAACTATGACGTTTTAGGTCCCGAAGAACCAACCAACGTTCCAACAGATCCGAAGCAACATCCGGATGTATTAGACATCGTGCTCTCTAGGAACGTCAACTACCCGGTAGTGGTAGAGGTGCTATACGACCTGAGCTCACAGCACCTCCCGATTCTGATAACCCTTGGCACTAAGGCGGTGACTACGCCGCTCAGAGTATTTAAGACACGTATTGACTGGAGGCGCTATGCACAATACCTGCAAGCGAGACCTCCAGCTCACCAACTTATCAACACAGCGGACGACGTAGAGGCCGCTGCAACCAGAATCACCAAAAACATCCAGGAGGCCCTCCACGCGGCTTCTACGATCGTCCCGATCACAGGAAGGCGAGACGATCTACCGCGGGATATAAGTGTCATGATAAAACGCAAAAGAGCACTCAGGAGACTCTGGGCGCGTACTCGCTGCCCAAGACTAAAAGCACATCTCAACACCTTATCGGAGGAGCTGTCGGTGGCAGTCCGGGCACACAGAGGAGAGGCCTGGGAGCGGCGCATATGGAAGGCGGAAGAACAAAATGCGTCGCTCTATAGACTGAACCGACAGCTAACCAAAACCAGACCTCCCGTTTGCCCGCTTACTAACAGTGCGGGTGAACGCTGCTATGATGCCAAGGGCAGAGCGGATATCCTAGGAGAGCACTTCGAGGAGCAATTTATGCCGAATCCTGCAAGTGCGGAGTACATGGAGCTTCATGCCATAAAGGAGAGTCGCGTACAGGAGTTCCTGTCGTCGCCCGCGCCGCCTCTTGCAGGAGAGTGGTTCATCTCCCCCGCTGAACTGCGGAGGACAGTAACCCGCCTGCAACCGAGGAAGGCGCCTGGGCACGATGGGATTACCAACGCTGCACTCCGACAGCTGCCCTATAAAGTCCTAGTAGAGATTGGTCGACTCTACAATGGGATATTGCGGACATCCCACTTCCCGGAGGAATGGAAAAAAGACAAAATTATCGTCTTGCCGAAACCCGGGAAGGACAGGCGTAGAGCTGCCAGCTACAGGCCGATTACGCTACTACCGCACATAGCTAAACTGTTTGAAAGATTGCTTCTAAGACGTCTCCGTTCGTGCATCCAACTTCGGGCGGAGCAGCACGGATTCAGGAGGGGTCACTCTACAGTCACACAGTTGACTAGAGTGCTGCACCTGCTTGCGGCAGAGTACAATCATGGCCGCATATCGTTGGGCGTCTTCCTCGACATCGAGAAGGCGTTCGACCGGGTGTGGCACTCAGGATTACTATACAAGTTGCACGAACAGACCAGTGTCCCCCCTGCTATGTTGCGGTTAATGGCGTCTTTCCTGGAGGACAGGAAGTTCTACGTCTGCGTAGAGGACGCCGAGTCCGCAACAAGAACCATCAGTGCCGGCGTCCCACAGGGCAGTTGTCTGTCTCCAGTCCTGTACGCGGCTTTCACGAATGATATTCCAACATTGGCAGGCAGGCTGCAAGAATGGGAGGACAACGTTGAGCTGGCGCTATATGCGGACGATAGCGCCTATTTGACCTCGTCCGGAATGACATATTCCGGGCCCGGGTGGCCCATATAGCCACTGCCAAAATGCAGCGTCTGCTGGACCTGTTGCCACCATGGCTGAACGAGTGGAGGATGGTCGTCAACGTTGGTAAGACGACCGCTCTGCTCACCCGCCGCCTCAGAAACTTACCACCACCACTAACTCTCGACGGCCAGAAGATCGCGTACGAGAAGACCGTGACATACCTCGGGTGCCGGATCGACCGGGCGCTGCGCATGACTGCGCACGTCGACTTCGTCGTCCGCAAAGCCAGATGTGCGCGGGCGATGCTTCGTCCGATCCTGGAATCCAAGCTGCCCATAAAGACCAAGCTCCGGATATACAAGATGTATATCCGGACTATTACCACCTACGCTGCTCCGGCCTGGTACGCGCTTCTGAGTGACACCCAGAGGCGGCGATTACAGGCTCAGCAGAACCTGTCATTAAGGACGATTGTCGGAGCAGGTCGTTACGTCCGGAATGACGTCATAGCGGCCGATCTGAAAGTCGAGACCATCACCGACTTCGTGGCCCGGTTAGCGCGCGGCATGTTTGACCGTGCCGATAACGGGCCACATGAACACCTGAACGGCTTTGCGCCGTTACACACCCGGCCACCGGACGGGCGACCTCTTCCAAGAGAACTCCTCTCTGTATGTGATTAGAGAGTTGAGTAACAACCCACAATGCCGCAGAAAGGCCAAATTAGACTTTGATAACCTCTATAGATTACCTCCCTTTCCGTAGTCGGTGAACTACGGAAAGCAAATTTTCTTATCCGGCTACATAATATAATGCAGCATAACCACGCCAAGATAGGCAATAAGTGACTGCCCCATAGTCATGGGGTATGAGGATATCCGGGTAATGGGGTATACCCCGAGGCCCGATACCTGCACGTACTTAGGTACGTACAGAAGACATCAACGTTCTTAACCAGAAACAAAATACGCTGAGAAAAGTTCGCAGATTCCTTGGGGATCTTTAGCAGTTTTAGCATCATGAGTCATAGATTCAGGGATACCTTTACTTGATTTTTTGTTATTAACGAACTTAAAGAAATATTTAACATTTTTACCTAAGCTATTATCAACTTCATTTTGAATCGATTTATAGCAGGCTTCAATTAAGTGTTTACTATGAGTTCTCAACATATATGTATCATAATCCCTCTGATTACCAAATTTTTTATACAACTTATGATACTTTTTCTTATCTCGAAGGCAACGAATAAGAGGATAGTTAAACCAGTATGGGTATTGGTTAGGATTACATTTTTTAAATGGTGCAAACAGCAAAATAGCTGAATTAAGTTTTATATACTTAGCATCAACAGCACTATCAGAGTCTAAGTAAATTAACAGTTCATGCCAAATAACTTTTCTTAAATTATCTTTAATTTTTTCAAAATTACATTTATGATAATTTGGTTTCAAAAATTTACGATTAAATTTAACAAAATTTGGTTTATTATTTGTATAATTAAAATTAATTTCTATAGATGGATGATGGCCGTCCAGTTTCAATAACGGTTCTACTTCTTTTACTCTTAGTTCGTCCATAGTTGATAATACGAGATCAAGTAGACGATCATTCTGATTCTTAGAATTATTATATTGTTTCAGATCACATAAAAGTATATCAGCCATAGTATCTAAAAGAAAACGGCCCTTAATGCCAGCAGAAAGTTAAAATCGCCTACAATAAGAAATGTCCAGAATTGGCTTTGCTAAGTATGATACTGTTACGGATCGCCGTAACGCCGTTCGTAAAATGAATGAAACACGTTGGCCTTGCTTAAATAGGAGGCAAGCGGCGGTGAGGAGGAACTTGTACTTTTTCTTGCTGTTGCCTTTTCAGTGGCTGGAGAGCGACTGCCGACCATACCGGCCGGCCCGTCTTTTACATGATTTGGCCGCTGCTGGCCAGCGGACCCTTGCCTCACCCTTTACTTGTCTACAAAAGTTACATCTGTCAAGCGTTTGCTACTCAACGCCAAGTAGACTCAATTTATACTGACTTTTCAAAGGCGTTTGACAAAGTCAACCATAGAATACTCTCGGCTAAATTGGCAGCATACGGTATACATGGCAATTTGTTGCGTTCGATAATTTCGTATATTTCTAGACGTAGTCAGATTGTTGCAATAAAACCTTTCTTTATTTGGTTATAACTCTTACAAACTAACAAACAGAATTAAATGTGTAATATTCTTATAACTACTTATTATACTATTACGTACACAACAATTTTTTTACATATTAAAAAGGTTTAAACTTTATATTTAACAACTTTAGGCTGAGGACCCTGCCCCGCGCCTCAGCACTATAAATATAAAACGCCGTGGCGCGGTGCGCGTAGCCTCATTTGCTCCGCGGCCGCGTCACGATAACATGCCCTGTTGATGTTATAATAAGTTATTTTAATTACTATACAAGAAAGGTAATATACAAGAAAGGTAAATTAGATATAAAAACAAATACAATTTACATTTTAAATCTATGCTAACTCTCGCTATTCATTTGGTGTCTTTATTGGGAGAGTTATTGCATAGTTACAACGCTATTCTTTTTATCATCGAATATAAAGTTATATTTTTTAAAATAAATATAAATATAATGAATAATTAAATATAAATATAATAAATATAAATATAAGGCTGCGCCTGTTAAGTAGGTAAGTAACCCACTCGTTAAGCGCCGACATGGCTGAGTCGGCGCTTAACGAGTGGGTTACTTCTATATGTATTGCTCGTGACGTCATGCAGGTAAATAACGCGCCATAGCGCTTTTCACGATGTCGTCCCACTGTGACTTCTATTGGCCTGAAGTAGTCCAGTCCGGTGTATGTGAACGGACGTGCGTGATGAGATGCAGGCTTGGCTTTTCTTAGACGGCACGGCAGGCAGCCTTTGACGACAGTTTTCACTACTGGACGTATTTTTCTTATGTACAATCTCTGTCTTAATTCGTTCACAACTGTTTCCACGCCTCCGTGATGCAGCCTCTCGTGTACGTGTGCTATGTACAGACGAGTATATGCGTGCTTCCCGTCTAGTATGGGAGGGTCGTGTAATCCTCCACTTCTGATGCTGCTTTTATTCGACCTCTGAGGCGTAGGGTCCCCTCATCATCGACGTATGTGCTCAGGTGGCCTAATTTGTCGTCGCCTCCCGGAACACTTCCGTTGGCGATCCTCTTGAGCTCCTTCGTGAACCTTTCCCGCTGACTGGCTTGCACCCACATTTGATCGGCTCTTATATGATAAGCGGCTGGTATTCGTACAAGCGTTGAGACAGTAAGAGTTGCCTTTTTCTCTTTGGTGGGGGTGTTGTGTCTGTTTGTTCTTTGCCAGCCAGGGTCGCTATCTTGTCTTGCTCTGTTGCGTTTACGCCCAGCCTTTACCACGTGCTTGTTTGGTCTGCACATGTCGATGAATAGGAGGACTCTCGCTGTCGCCCTTATTAGGCGAATCAATTTTGAAAATCTTTCTATTTGTGGCAGATGTGTTGTTGGCGAGTCTTCAGTTTTAACTGCGATGTTACATATTTCTCGTTCTTCCCCGGTGTCGTATTGTGTCGTTTTCTCTTCCTGCGGCCATTCTGCCGGTGGACGTTGCAGAAACGGGGGCCCTCGGAACTACCGGTGCGACTCGTCGAACCTTTAGGGTCGCGTCGTCTGCCACGTTTTCTTTAGACGGTAGCCAACGCCATTCGTTCTTTTTGGTCGTATCTTCTATCTCCGCCAGGCGATGAGCGACGAAAGCTTTGTACGCGCGAGGCTCCGACCTTATCCACACTAGTGCAGTACGAGAGTCGCACCAGTATGTCTTGCCCGCTATATCGTCATCGTGCTCATCGATCACGGTCTGTGCAAGACGAGCTCCCAGCAGTGCCGCTTGTAACTCGAGCCGTGGTATGGAGACTGGTTTCAGTGGTGTTACGCGGCTCTTGGCGGCGGCTAATGATATGTTAACGCTGCCGTCTACTCGCTCCGTTCTCCAATACACGGCTGCTGCGTAGGCCTCCTCGCTTGCGTCGACGAATGTGTGTAGTTGATGCGTCGAAACCGGGTTGTAATCGTAGCATCGCGGTATTCTCAGTTGTTCTATGGCGTTAAGTGAAGTAATCCAGTCTTCCCATTTTTCTTTTAACTCTGTTGGCAGAGGGTCGTCACAGTCCGCCTTATAATGCCATGTGTCTTGGAATATTCTCTTCGCTGGGGTAGTCACTGGTGATATTAACCCCAGCGCGTCAAATAATGCCATTATAACGCTCAGCGCTTCACGTTTAGTTGGCAAGCGTTGTTTTTGTTTCTCTTCGCTGCGGCGTCGTGCACCAATCTCGGCGGCTTGTTTGGTTTCGCAGCGTTGATGACTGGGAACTGTGGCAGATACCATGTCCTTCCCTGTGGCGGTGGCATAGGCGCTCGCTCTGCGTAACCCGAGAATTTTTTGAATAGGTTCTCTATGCGTTCTTCGTACTGTAGCTTGAGATTGTTGTTTCGGTCGAGCCGCTTCTCTAAGGTGTGCAGACGCCTTTCCGCGTCTTTGTAATTATTTGGTATTTGGAAATCCTTTTGTTTCCACAGCAACCCTGTCTCGAATCTGCCGTCCACCGACCTCTGGGTGGTTTCCCTCAATATTTGCATAGCTCGCTGCTCGGGACCTTCTTTCGGTCTTCTTGACTCGATAAACAGCGATTCTAATATGAAATAATTTTTTATTTCTTCTTCTATCGGCTGTGCCTCTTTCCTCTGATGTAGTCTGCCGCAGAAGGCGACCGTCGACGTCAATGAGCTATGACAGCCATGCAGAACCCAGCCCAGGTTGGTGTATGAGGCGACTGGTTGGTCTCGACGACCGACGCGCAGTTTTCTAGACACTATGAGGTGCCAGTTATCTTGTCCGATTAGTATTTTCGGTGAGGCGCGTTCGTAGGTGATATCCTCTTTGATATCCAACAGATGTTGGCAATTCTCCAAGTGATTTTCATTCACGGATTCTGGCGCGAAGTCCAACCGCTCTATCGCACGCGCTGCTTCTATGTTGTGTTCCTCTTGCGCGTACTTTCCTCTTATTTTAAGGCTGACGATCTTGCTCTTCTCACCTCCGAGCCAACCCCTTGTATCCACATTGCGTGGGCTGGGCCGTCGGCGCCGATGACGTCGGCGATCGAGGCATCGACTAAGGTGACCGTGCTTCCTTCATCCAATAATGCGTATGTTTCGACGCGGCCCCCTTATTGTTACGGGCGCAACATTTATGTAAGCGCGGCGGTGTTTGTACGGTCGAGTCGTTGTGATGACCTCCCTTGCCGATGTTGCGGTTCCCATAGCGGGTTCTTTTTCAATTTCTGCTGTTCTGTCATGATGATTTATGGTGTTTCATCATGCATCCGCCTTTTCCGCATGGTGGAGCTTTACACAGCAATCGGCGATGTTTGCCTCGCAGACAGCGGTAGCAGATATTATACTTCTTCGCTACTTCCCATCTGTCATTTGTGGACAGAGCGGCGTATGACTTGCAATCGGGCAGTTTGTATTCTTGTTCGCATTGAGGGCAGCGTTCTTCATATTGTTTCTTGCTTGTGGCGAAGGCACCTTCGCTCTCTCGTTTCGCTGTCCTCTGCGATGAACTCCGGCAAGGCATACGCGCTGCATTTATCCGCTTCTTCGTTTAAGAAGATTGATATATTCTTAAGCTCTGTGATATCTTCTTTCTTTCTGGCTGCATAGTCGTACCATTTGCTTCTCAATATGGGCGTGAGTTTGTCTATGACAACTCGCGTCATTTCCGGACTATGCAGATAGTGTGCTTTCTTGAGTGCTTCCACGGCGCCCACTATATTTGCTATGCGATTTGCGAATATGCATAGCTCCCAGGGATTGTCCGTAACTTTGTTCAGCAGCTTCAGCTTCTCTATTTCCAAGTGAATTAACGCTTCTGGTCGTCCGAATCTCCTTTCCAAAGCTTCTATTATCATTCTGGGATCTGGTTGGCTTATAAGTAGGCAACCCGCGGCTTCTTTTGCTGTCCCTTTTAAGCTTCGGCGTATTCTCGCTATGTTTTCGTTCATCGTGAAGTACTTTGAAGATTCTTCGTACGTTGTTTTGAAGCTGAGCCATTCTTCGCTGCTACCATTGAATGTGGGCAGCTCTTGCAAATATTTCGGCGGCTCCCTTATGCTTCGTACTGCTTGTGATAGAGCAGCGGCTAAAGTAGCGACGTCGATTTTTGCTGCACCTGTCCATAGTCTTCTTTCTGCGGCGCGGTACGTTGCGGAGCGTATTGCGGCACATACTGTCGAAGCACGGGTGGTGCGATCTGCGGTGCTGATTGCGACGCAAAGTACGACGTGGATTGCGGCGCGGGTTGTGTTGCAAACTGCGGAGCGGGTTGCGAGGCAAACTACGGAGCGGGTTGCGATGCGAAGTGCGACGTCGGTTGCGGCGCGGGCTGCGATGTAGGTTTTTCTTGCAACCATGTACTAATGCGCACTGATGCTAAATCGTCTTCTATTTCTTCATCTTCGTCATTGGTTGATCCGACTTCTGCTTGTAGTCGCTGCACGTGTATTACTTGCAATTCCGTTCTTGCTTGCAACTGGGCCTGCTCGAGCTTGAGTTCGGATAACCGCTCTTTCGCCTCT